CCACTATCCTGTACTTTGAGTAACTAATTTAAAGATAACAATGCACAATGTATTAACCATTGTTACCCTCCTATTACCTTTGAAATTTTGTTTTATGTTTTTATTTATTTATTTATTTGTCTTTTTGAGACAGGGTCTTGCTGTGCAGTTCAGGCTGGCCTTGAGCTCACTTTGTAGCCCAGGCTGGTCTTGGACTCATAATGATCCTCTTGCTTCAGCCTCCTGAGTGCTGGGATTACAGGTGTGTGCCACCATGCCTGGCTTGTTTCTCTTTAAAATAAAAAAATATAAAACAAAACAAAATCATCTGCACTATATGCAGAAATACAAAGGAGATGTGTTGGTATACAGAGAGTCTTTATGAGAGTTTGGTGAATAAGCACAAACTAAATGCAAATTAATGGTCCTCCTCCAAAAATACCCACATGTGATGCCAGGCATGGTGATGCACATCTGTAATCCCAGCACCTGGGAGGCTGAGGCAGGAGAATCACTGCAAGTTTAAGGCCAGTCTGGGCTACACAATGAGTTTAAGGTGAACCTGGACTAAGAAGACACTGTCTCAAAAAAAAAAAAAAGTAAGAAAGAAAAGAAAAGACAACAAAAAATAAAAACAAAAGCAAAAAACACATATGCATTTATAAATTTAAAAGTCTACACAACTTTCTAAAGTAGTCCATTTCATAGGTGAGTAAGATGGAGCTCAGAGGGCTGAATGTCCAAGGCCTCAGAGGAAAATGGTAGCACTAGGCTGCTGACCAATCATACTTCTTTCTGTTCTACCTACTGTCAGGGAGATGGAGTCACTGGATAGAATTTTTGTGTGGTGGTGTGTGTTCCCCACTTTGTTCTTTTTTACAATTGATATCATAGTAGTCAAATGTTCTGCTTTGTTCTTAGAGATCATTCTTTTTTTGCTGTTTTTATTTTAAAGAGAAAAGAAAGCAAAATAACAACAACAAAGGTAGAAACAAAACAACACAGAAACAATAAAAATAATACAGAATTTCAAAACAAGATGATAGGAATTAACAATGGTTGTTATATATTGTTATGTTCAATGAAGTTGCTCAGATTACCAGATGTAAGAAAGCAGGATTTTTTTTGTTGTTGTTGTTTTTCTCCGGTACCGGGAACCGAACTGATGACCTTGCGCTTGCCAGGCAGGCGCTTTGCCGCTGAGCTAAATCCCCAGCCCAAGAAAGCAGGATTGATCAAACAATTAAAAAGAAAAAAAATACTAAAAAAAACCAAAAAATAGAAATGATAGAGTTTCACTAATGAAGATGGTAGGAATCTAACAATAGTTATTATATTGCATATTGTTGTCTTCAAATTAGTTGTTCACATTACCAGATATAACCATGCAAAATTGGTCAAAAAAAGAAAAAATTTAAGCATTAACTGTTCCTTTCAATAAACCAATAGACATTAGCAGTACAGTTATCCTAGATATCCTTGTATATTCATATCTATTTTTTTCTCTTCCTTCTTTCCCTTGGACATCTTTCTATAACAACAAATGGAATATCTTGCTATCTTTTTTAATGGCTCTATACTATTCTATTTTAATGAATGCAGCTTCATTTGTTTATTAAACATTTACTCTCCACTCCCTGACACTTTTTTTTATAAAACAGTGATGTTGTTACTGGGTTTTTGGGTGCTGGAGTCTTCTTCTGGTGGTGGCTTCTGTGTTCCTTCTGTCCTGAGCAAAGAACTGGTGAAGAAAACTACAAACAGTAGTAAATTTTATGAAACACAGGAAAAGAACCAGGCTCTGCAGAGTGAGTTTGGGCTGAGTAAAAGCAGGAAAAGAAGTACACCCTACAGTGTGAGGATGGGGCATCTGTGCAAGAGAGAACACAGTGGCAAAAGTCCAACGTGGACTTTTGTATCACTCACTCCTCAGGCTGATGTCAGGTCTAGCCCATCCTGTCAAAAACTTGCTTTAGTTCCTACAAAAAGTCCATGTGCAGAACTTTGGAAACTGTTCTGCATATGTGTCCTGGGATTTTGTAACTAACAGGTCACACCTACTTCCCCAGCCAGCTTTGCCTTGCCCTAATTTCCTGTCTCATTTCTCCCTGAGAGACACATATCACCATAATTCCTTTTGGGATGCTGAAGCAGTGGATGTCTCTGTCTTCTATGGCTTCTTCCAGCTGGAAGAGGCTGTAGAGTCTACCTACTGGTGATTATGTGCTTTCCATCTACTGTGGGATGTTGTGGTTCACCGGCTGTGTTGAAGAAAAGAAAAACCTGTCAAAAGACTATGAGAAAAGATTTAGTGACAATTGAGCTATGTGTTCAGTGAGAGAAAGGAAGTAATTTTACTACTATATCAGGGATTTATAACTCAAATATGAGGAACAGATCAGATTTCTATGCTTCTTGTGGAAGACACAGTATGGCAAAGAGGGAGGTTAGATAAATTATTGAGCACCTGAGAGCCATAGCCTTAGCAAGAGTATTCACATAATTGATCTAATTAAAAACGGAGCCTCAACACAAGTACACATCTAAGCTATGGTGAATTAAGATCATTAGTGACTTGACTTATCTGCACCCAGAGTAATATCAAAATCTTGCTTTCTGAGCCTCAGGTCTTCCAGAGGTTCTCAGTAATAACTGTCCTCTTAGCCTAGTAAAAATTCTAGTGACTCTTTCCCATGTAGCAGTTTTATAGCTTGTCATTGCATCCCTTGAGGAAGGACCAGAATGGTTTTTCAGGAATTGAGAATAAGGCTAAGGTGTTGAAGAGCTGCAAGACTGCCCTTTTTGCCTCCCTACCAGCCTTTTGATTTTCAAAAAAAGACTTTAGATGTTCCTCTTTGGAATCCCTTTCAATGAATGACAGTGACCTGCTTGGGAAGATAGGCTACCTCTAAGAGTTGTAAAATTTATGTTATTATTATTATTTTATTGCTTATTAGCAAGTTCCTTCTTTCCAGATTGCTGCACAGGCATGTAGCACCAGAAAGGAATATTTGGAGAAAATGTGTAACTTGCATTTTAATGTCCTTCTTTTTTTTTTTTTTTTTTT